CCATTTCCATTTTCTAGCCATGCACCACCCCCACACCCCAACCATACCAACCTATACCCCAACCTTCAACCTACCCAAGACCCATAGGTAGAACCCTAGGAAGAACCCACCCAAAGACCCAAAACCACAACAACCTATATATATATATATATACATCTATATCTATATCTATATCTATATCTATATGTATATCTATATCTATATCTATATCTATATCTATCTCTATATCTATCTCTATATCTATCTCTATCTCTATCTCTATCTCTATCTCTATCTCTATCTCTATCTCTATCTCTATCTCTATCTCTATCTATATCTATATCTATATCTGATAAAGGCATTGCTCTCTCTGTTGACCCGCCGCCTTTCCTCCCGAAAGGCCTACAGCCATCAGTTAGCTGCGGAAAACGGATGCTCGTTGCCTGTGCTTCCTTTTGCTGGCTGCACAGGGGGTTTCCTCAGTGGCACCGGAGCCTGAGTCGAGGTGCCCGGTTCCCTTTGGCGGCTGAGCTTGATAACGCTGCGCTTCGCCTCCGCTGCTGCCGCGTCGAGTTCACGAACCCCGACCTCTTGCTCAATTACCTGATTCTCGGCTACCTCACCGCTGGACGCTCAGCAGGGAGCTGGCTGCGGAACCAAGGTCGTGCGGGCTGAGGTCTGTGTCACCTTTGCACGACGGACCTTCCGGAAACTGGAAGGCCTTTTGAATTCTTCTTCTTTGAGTTCCGGCAGCCATGGCTGAGTCCGAGAAAGAGTATGGTGGCGCGTGGGGTCGGTGCCCCACCTGGGACGGGTCTCCACTTACGTGGAGAACTTTCAAGCGCGAGATGAGTTGGTGGACCAGTTCTCCTTCCTTCCCAACTCTCTGGCTTGGTGGCTGTCCGGCTCTCGTGGGTGGTGCCTCCCTCTTTCCCAATTCTCTGGCTAGTGGAGGGTGTCCTGCAACAGCTCCACAGTTGGCTAGAGCGTTCAATTTCAAGAACCACCAGTAGCCCCAGATCGTTGCGCTCCAGATCCTGCGGAGTTGGCTACAGGTTCCACAGATTTCCGCTATCTCTTGACCCAGAACCGGGTCCCGGATAGCTCTCAAGCGACCTTGTTCAAGGCCGGGATAGACACAATAGCCAAATTTTCGGCTAGTTTCAAGGACGAAGCCGACCTGAAATCGGTGCTAGCCAACGACTTCTCAATTGAGCCGGAGAGCACACTCGCGAACAGGGCGCTAGCGGCTGCTTTCGTTGTGGCCTGGCGAGCGGCCCAGGCTCGAACCCGCGAGCAAGCGGATAGAGAAGCGGCGAAGTCCGGGAATGGGCCAAGCCTATTCCCCAGACGGAGTACATGGCTATGCGCCAGTCCTTCGCACAGAAATTCGGCGAGCCCGAGGATAAGCACGTTCCGGCTAAGGAATAATACATTGAGCGAAAGCTGCACGAGCCGGAGACGGGCGAGTTCAGGGCGGAGCCCCTGAACGAGGTGCTATCCAGAGACGAGATTGATCCGGATGTGCTAGTTCCCCAGTGGGATAGCAAAGGCACCGCCCTCGTGGTCAAGAAAGCTACCTCGAAAGGGGCTATGCCGTCGGGCCCGGAACAGCTGCGACTCCGGCTAACGGTGATGCAGAATACCCTTCTCATGATAGGCTTGCAGCACCCTGGGAGATCAGAGCTTAAGGATATCGATTTCCAGCTTTTTGAGAAATACAAAGACTACCTGCTAGGCGATTTCTGCTATGGGCTACGTTCCAATGAGGCTAGCGGATCCTTGGCGCCCCCATGGACATTAGTGCTATCCTATGAGAATGCTATCAGAAAGCAGGCCTACAAGCAGATGGTCCTCAAAGGGATAGGCTTCGCCGACGCGCAAGTCCAGTCCTGGAAAGACGCGGCTACCAAAGAGAGGCACTTCACAACTCCGCTATCGCTAGACCCCAGCCGTGGGCCTGGGATAACACCCAGCCGGATAGGCCTGGCAAGAAGGGCAAAGGCAAGGGCAAGGGCAAGGACAGCAAGGATAGCAACAAGAAGGCTAAAGCCTGCACCTTCAACCGCACTGAGGATAATAAGCCGATTTGTTTTCGGTTTAACCTTAAGGGTGGTTGCAAGAAAGGGGCTAAGTGTCACTTCGTCCATGTCTGTACGAAGTGTCGGGGCAACCACTCGGCGATGAACTGCCCCGGGGCGGCTACACCTTCAGCGCCGGCCAACTGACTTCCTGCGCCGGCTGCTTCCGTGCCCCCTTCGGCTACTTCACCAAGGGCGACCTCACCCCGTCGGCTACAAGTGCTCTACCTACCTCTTCTCGGGGAGGGATAGAGCCGGAAGTTTCCAGTCCCACTTGCGACGGCTTCCACCTTTGCCTGTGACCTGGATATCTGCTGTGTGGACCTGGCCAGAAAGCCCCGAACAGACTTGGCTACATCCAAGGCGAGATCCAAGTACCTGGCCCTCGTGCAATCTGGGAACTGCGACATCGTGGCTATGTCACCACCAGTGGCTACCTTTTCAAGGGCTTCCTGGGCTAACCACAAGGGTCCCAGGCCAGTTCGCAGTTTCAGCGAGCCGTGTGGACTGGCTAGGCTCACGGCGAAAGAAAGAGACAGGGCTATTCTTGGTAACATTTTTGCTGATTTTTGTTTTGAAATGGCTAGTGCTGCACTTGCTTCCGCGACCTTCTTCGTGCTAGAGCAACCCGAAGACCCCGGGGCTATGCCGGCTGGGCCCCGCAAGGGCCAACGTCCGGCTACTATGTGGCAGTGGCCCGAACATGCGAGGCTAGTCGATCGCGGTCTCCGATCAGTGTGCTTGCATCTGGATAGTTTTGGTGCCGACAAGGCTTCTTCTCAAGACCTGCAGGGACCTGCCGGATACTGTCTACCACCGGCTATTACACCGGGCCCCTCCCCGCTCAGGCTAGCGCCACCCAGGAAGTGAGCCAGAGCTTGGCGACTGCTAACCTCGGCGAGTGGCCCTCGGAATTTTCTCGATGGCTAGCACAACTGGCCCTGGATACCTGCACGGCTACTGCTACGACCGCCTACCGGGAGGGCGAACAGCCGATGCAGGATACAACCGCCAAGCCGGCGCACTCTCCTCAGAACGAGCTTGGGCTACGTCACCAATCAACCTGAGGTCTTGGCCTTCTATCCAGCTCTGTAGAGAAGCTGCAGGAGTTCACCGTGTAGGTGGCTATCCCGGACCAGTTTGCATCCCGATTCGCCACCCATAGCCATGCGGAAGGCCTCCTTCTCTAGCTTTTTTTCGGAGCCCGCTCTGCTGACCACGATCTCCCGAATCCGAGCTCGCAGCCAGTTCCAAGATTCTCCGTCGGCCAACATGGAATTCTTTTATCCCGTCACAACCTCTACGGCTCAGGCTGCTGAGGGCGATCCTCAAGGCCGCGGAGAACACGGATAGGGAGTTCCTACGGCGAGCCGAGGAAGGCCTGCCGTTGGGGATACTGGAGGGGCTACCGAGGACACCACATGTGTTCGAGGAGCAGACTTCGTGGCGGCTGGACAACGCACCTTGGGAGCCGGCGCTAGCATGGGTGCCGAACTACTCCTCGGTTGGCGACCACAGGGACTTTGTCAGTGCTAAGTTCGACGAGGACCTGGAAGAGGGCCTCATGGAGAAGATGACCCTCCGCGAGTTCAAGGCTAGGTTCGGAGAGCACCGGGCTATTGCATCCCTGGCAGTGATAGTCGAGGACGAGGAGAAGGACAAGAAGCGGATAATTCACGACGGATAAGATCCGCGCACCTGGAGCTAGAGAGAAGAAGCAGATCCTGCGCGAGTTGATTTGTTGTGGCGAGATTGCCTTTTCGGTGGTGGGGGATATTTCGAAGGCCCATGGGAGGTACAAGCGCCAGGCTGGCGAGCACGGCTTCATGGGCTGTCAGATAGACACCGAGGAGACGATTTGCGGGGACCCGGATGGCCAGATCGTCTACGTCAACAAGCACCTTCGGGCTTTCTCCGGCGAGCTACTGGTGGACTAGGATAGCCGCATGTGGGCTACGGGCAACCCATCATCTGTTGGGACCCGGCTATCCCATCGACCTCCTGCTATATGCCGATGACCTCGAGGCCCCAGGGATAGGGGCCGAGGGGAGGAAGGGGATTCCTCTGAGTTGCCTTCTCCTCTAGGAATGTCGAAGAAACGCGCGACCTGGCTCTCCACCTGGCTAAACGACAAGGTGTATTCGGGCAAGGTCACCGCCAAGGAGATGCAACAGGGGCTGGGGAGGCTCGGGTTCGCAGCTATAGCCTTTGACTGGCAGAGGCCCTTCCTTGGCCCCCTCCATGCCTGGAGCGCTGCTATTCAAGGGAAGTCGGGATACCTCATTATCCCAACGATGCTGAGGATGCGGTGGCTAGCCGACAAGCTTGACCTTAAGGGGAGAGACTACAACGTCCTGTGACCCTCTACGCTGGGCTACCACCACTCAGCTTTTCACAGACGCAAAGCTGAGTCCGGGCCTGGATAGGGGGCTTCCTGGAGAAATCCGAAGGGAAGCCGGGACCCTGGTTTTCACTAGAAGTGGATAGGGCCTGGGCTCCTTGGGCATTTTCGAAAGGCGATCCCAAGAAAGTGATAGCTGCGCTTGGACTGCTATAGCGACCCTCGTTGGGATACGTCTCTGCGTCCCAGAAGGCGAGGATAGGAAGACCTCGCGAGTAGCCATCCGTGGATACACGGATAACAAGTCCAACGAGGCACTTCTGAAGAAGGCTATGACAACCAAGTATCCCTCTATGCTAGTTGTAATGGAGGTAGCCGAAGAGCTAGCCCAGAAGAACTGTGAGCTACAGCTCCAGTGGATACGGAGAGACATCAACCAGCTGGCGGACGACCTCACCAGCGAGGAATTCAAAGAGTTCGACCCCGATCAGAGGATAGACCTGAAGGGGGAAGAGTTCCAGTGGCGAGTTCTGGACCGGCTACTCGCGCATGCAGATGGCTTCTACAAGGAGCTAGGCACGCGGAAGCGAGGGACCCCG